CACTGCTGGTTTCTCATTTGCCCTGGCAATTTGGCTGTGAAGAGCTATGACCCTGAGATAGAGGCTACAAGCTGATGAGGGGAGCTCCTGGGTTCCTTCTACTATGTGCTGATGTGCTCTGGGTGCACCCTATAAATATATGTGTTCGTGTACGTGGGGGTGCAGGGAATGGGGAGAGGAATGAGCCATTGAACTTAGAAAATGCTGGGGGGAGTGTAAATTGGTATAAACTCTTTTAGGAAAAAAAAGCTGGCAATTTGTATATAGATCAGTGGTTCTCAAACCTTGATGTGCATATTTCCCTGGAGAGCCTGTTAGACTATTGATTCCTGGGTTCTACCTCTCAGAGATTCTGATTACACGCACTTGGAGTGAGGTCCAGAAATGTGTGTTTGAATAAGCTTCCTGAAGATTCTGATGCAGGTGGTCCAGGGGCACAATAAGAAATTTTAGTCTAGAAGCTAATTTTTTTTCCTTACCTATTGATCTGGGAATTCTACTCTTTGGAATTTATTATAAGGATATAGCCCAAACTATCATATTGACTTTAGACTTTTATACTAGCAAAAACTTGGAACTGTTCTAAATATCCACCAACAAGGGGAGAAGTTAAGCAAATTACATAGCGCATCTACTTGGTGGAATATTATCCAGACATTCAAGAGGATGCTTGCAAGGTGCTTATAACAGCATGGGAAAGTACAGGTGGAAAAGGCTAAGATTTGAAGTTGTATACACAGAATGATTCTATTATGGTACAAAATCATGTGTTTAAAAATCCTGGAAGGAAATAGCACAGTGTTTCTAAAGCAGTGTGATGTAAGGGATGAGAGCAAAAAATTTGGAGTCAGATAGAGCTGAGTTTGAATTCTGGCTCCACCATTCACACTAGTTGGCTGTCCATGAGAAACCTAACTGAATCCCTTTGAGCCTCAGTATCCCTACCTGTAAAATGGGAAATAATAATTTTACCCACCCCAAAGTGTTGCTATGGGATTTAAATGAGATAAACTATATAAAGTCAGGGCACTTACTCGGGGCTTAATAAACATTAGTTTATGAATATTATTCTTCCTTTTCTACTTCTCACTTTTTTTCTACTTAAACAAGTGTTCATTTTGTTATTGAAAGCAAAATGGCTATTACAAGAGAACAAAAAAAGGAAAGAAGGAAAGAAAATACGGAAACCGAGCAAAAACATGTCACGGCAAGAAACCCAGGGTGGGGTGAGGTGGGGTAGGCTCGGGAAAGAGTAGGAGATCACAGCATCGAACAGCATGTCAAAGCCATAATCAGTCATTGATGAAATCACTAGCCTTCTGGAGTCAGACAGTCCTGCTAAGAGCAAGCGTAGGCCAGAATAAAATAATAATATCTATAGTGTCTGCCTTTTGCTTTGGTTGTCCTAAGCCTCTGCTGCTGGGAGAAGCTCTGAGCTAGTGTTTTCTTAGCCTTGGGGCATGGAAAGCAGGGTAAAGTGAAGACAGCTGGCAGAGGAGGCGAGCATCGGTCCATGTGCCCGGGGCCATGCACTTTTTGTTGGTGGCAGAGACTGCGGGTGCCAGATGCTCTCTGGGAACCCGCTGCGCACAGTCCAGAGCTGGTCTCTGTTAGACACTGTTTCCAGATGTTTGCTGTCCGGCTCTTCTTACTTGCTTAAGACACAGGCAGTGTTCATTTCAGTGAGTCGTTGCCCGAGTTTCAGGGGGTACCAGCATGCTCAAGCCAGGCTGAGATTTGAGTGGCATCTAAGCTCATCACTTTGGTAACAGTGATGATAGTACCAGCTGCCTATGTGCTCAACACCTCTAATACATTATCTCATTTAATTCCTACCATTGCCCAGCGAGGGAGATGCTATTGTTATTACTCTATTTTACAGGCAAGGAAACTGAAGCTTTAAAAGCTTAGGTGTTTCACCTGAGGTCACACAGCTAGTAAGTGGAAAGTTCAGGATTCAAAGCCATACAGTCTGGCTCTGGAGCCCTCCCACTCTTAATCCTCTTGCAAAGTTGTCAAGGGGAAGGCCTTCTGGTGCAAACTAAGAATGCTGGGAGCAAGAGGTCAAGTCCTTGATGGCAGCTCTGAGAGCTTCCTTGAGACATCTGGCGCTCCCTGGGGCCATTTTGAAAGGCTCATTTATTGGCCCAGCTTAGATGCCCAGAGGCTGGCCCACAGAGATAGGGCTGCCCTAGTCCTGCCTCTCAGGCTCCGGCAGGCTGGGGACCTGGGGCCTGATCCCTGACCTCTTTCCTTGCAGGGAAATTCACCTGCATCGAGGTAAAGTTTCACCTGGAACGACAGATGGGCTACTATCTGATTCAGATGTATATCCCCAGCCTACTCATCGTCATCCTGTCCTGGGTCTCCTTCTGGATCAACATGGATGCGGCCCCTGCCCGAGTGGGCCTAGGCATCACCACCGTGCTCACCATGACAACTCAGAGCTCTGGCTCCCGGGCCTCTTTGCCTAAGGTGAAGAGACATGCAAGGGAACTTGCTTTCCGTAGAGCTCCCCATTTCCCATTCATCCCATTCCCTCCTGCTCCCTATTCTCCTTGGATTTAAGGTAGAGAAGAGCCATTGTGCCAGAGCAGGTGGCTGCATTCTCTTCCCACAGAACATACTGCTAATAATATTGCTAACTGTGTAGAAGCCAGGGTTGCAGCTGCTGTCTGGCTAGGGAACGAGTAGAGACAGTGCCTGACTTACTTTGACTTTCAGCAGGAAATTCTAGCGTGTCCAAAATCAAAAGACCCTTAGCAAGTAGGAAGTCCCACTCACTCATGTTACAGAGGAGAGCAATGCAGCCTAGAGAGGTAGAACGACCTTCTCAAGATCATGCCTCATAAGAAACAATCAAAGAAATACAAGGATTTTAAACTGACATCCTTTTCTTGCTATGTCAGAAATTGGGTACTGTTTCACAGAGCTCTAGGGACAGTGTCCACTCTTATAGGGGAGAGAAAACCTTGAGGTAGCAAATAGCAATTAAAGTCAGTGGTCTCTGATTGTCTGGGGCCTGGCAGTATTTTGATGATGCAGACATTGTGCTGATGGGACTGGGCCCAGGTTCTCCCTGCCTCGTGTCTTCATATTACAGAAGTTAGAGATCATCACCTCAGTGTCCTTACAGTCAGCAAGACTCTGAGAAAATCAGGGAGCAAGCTCATTCATTCATTCATTCAATAAAGATTTATTGAGCAAGTACTATATACCAGGAACTGTACTAGGCCATGGAGAAATAACAGGGAACAAAAACAACACAGGTTTTGTGGATCTTATCGTGAACACATTCTCTCTTGCTCTGTTTTGATGTTGAAACCAGGCTCTGTGATCTCTCATCTCCCAGTGTTTATTCCTAAGAAGACTTTCACCAGGGACTGCAACAGGGGGTAATCTGGACATCCATGGTGAATTTACAGATTTACTTTATGGTGGAGGGTGTAGTGGTTAAGAGTAGGGGATTAGAGTCAGATTTGTATTTAAGTCCCAGCCTCATCCTTTACTGATGGTGACCTTAGGTAAATTCCTTAACCTCTCAAATCTCCTCACCTGTAACATGGGAATAAAAATCTTACCTCTTCCATAGGGTTATTGCAAGAAATAAATCAGATAATGTATTCATACAGAGAACAGTGTTTGACACATAAGAACCGCTCAAAAAATGTTAGCTATTGTTTTAATTATTAGGTGTTTAGTTGGAAAGAACGGGGTGGGGGACCTAGGCCTAAAGCAGATGGTGGTGTCCGCAATTATTTTTGAGCCACCAGGAAACCTTTGAGGTAGTCCAAAGCCCGCTATGGATAAACAGTGACAAAACTCAGATTAAGATTAAGTGTTGCAGGTGAAGTTGTCAGGGGGCATTCCCTATACAGGCATACTTCGTTTTATTGCACCTTGCTTTATCGTGCTTTGCAGATACTGCGTTGGTTTTTTGATTTTGTTTTTTACAGATTGAAGGTTTGTAGCAACCCTGCATTGTCAGATGACAGTCAGCATTTTTTAGCAATAAAGTATTTTTTAATTAAGGCAAGCGCATTGTTTTTTTAAGACATAATGCTGGAGCACACTGAATAGACTGCAGTATAGTGTAAACGTAACTTTTATGTGCACTGGGAAACCAAAAAGTTCGTGTGACTCGCTTTATTGCAATATCTGCTTTATTGCAGTGATCTGGAACTAAACCCACAATCTCTCTGAGGTATGCCTGTAAATGTGTTTCCTAAATGGGCAAGGATATTGAAGAGGCTCTGAGAGGCAGACTGGGCTTAGGCAAGGGCCACAGGGCCAGGTGGGGCTGTGACGGCGATGTTGTCGTAGTAGCCTTGTGTGAAGCTGAGAGACAGGAAAGTCGTTCAGACCTAGGAACCCTGCCCTAGTTTAGTGCCGCTGCCACACAAGAAGGAAAATTCCTTTCTAGATCAGGAAGGTGCTGCAATTTATGCCTTATTCCTGCCAGTGAAACGTCTTCCTCCAGTCCCCGCTTGTTAGCAAGCATGGTCCATCCGCTCCCAGGAATCACTTCGTTTCCTTATATGGAAAAAATGGACTTTGTTGGAGGGTTGTTTTGTTTTCTGGTTTGGCGGGGGTGGGGTGTTGCAGTATTTGGTTCCTTCTCATCAAATTTTGATGACCTTCTCTTAGCCTCATTGGCCAGTGGCAAAATATGTAGGCATGCATTCCGAATTAAATAGCTTTGTTGGCCAGCCCCACGGAGCCAGGGACTAAGTCAGGGGGCTTCTGCTCATTCCCGAGTTTGTGCAACATTAGATTTCATGGGCGCCCCAAGTAAAGAGGTGGGGCCAGGTCAGGGGCTCCTGAAAGCCACAGCAACCCCACCCACAATATAACCCTAGTGTCCAGGATGAGAGAAGCAGAGACTCACTTTGTAAGGGAACTCAGCTGGGATGGCCATTCCCCACGTTCCCGGAAGCCACTCCTTCTTTGCCTTTATGAAGGCTTCCGAAGGCACCTATCGCTGTCTCTCTGCCAGGCTCTTGATCTACACAAACTGCAGGTGGCTTAGTGCATAATGGAAGGGTAAGCTGAATTTTCTACCAGAGACTGACGGATGAGACCTAAAGTTGCAGCAGAGAGGAGGGACCCAATTCTTTCCAAATCTGTCATCTAAATGGCTCACAGCTCTTGGGGCAGGTAGTAAGAAGGAGAGCCAAGAGAGCAAACAGAAGTCAGCAGAGACAAATACATTGCTAAATCATCCATGTATTCATTGATTCAAAAGATAGTTACTGTGTGCCAGGCACTCAGCTAGGCACGGGGGATAGAACAGTGAACACAACAGAAGTCCCTGCCATTGAAGAGCTCACAGTCTACTGAAGGAATCGACCAGGTCTCTTTGATGGATGCTAAGAAGGTGTAGGTAACCAGAGCACATACAGGAGGGGCAACCAACCCATACTGGGATGATTAGGGATGATGTCTCAGAGGACATGGTATAGTGAATGTTTCAGTAAAAGTTATCAAGGTAAAGGAGAGATAGAGAGAGCAAGATTACTTCTTTGGGAGACTATTGAAATTGTTCAGCACGGTCATGGATTGCAAGGGGTGGGATGAGGCTGAAGAAGTTGACAGGGACTACGTGTCATGCCAAGGGAAGCACTGACTGTATCGTAAGGTAATGGAGAGCTACTGAAGGGTTGTAAGCAGAGAAGCGATATGATCATACATACAGTTTGGAAACAAAACTCTGGCTACTGTTTGGAGAACAGATTGGAGGTGGCAAGCATAGATGCAGGGAGATCGTTTAGGAAACTGTAACAGTTCTTCAGATGAGCGAGGATAGTGAGTGGATGGATTCTAGAGAAATTTAAGGTGCATTATTGACACATTTATTGTTAACAAGACTTTCTTCCTGCTGCTTAAGGTGTTCTTTTCTTTTGATGGTCCAAAGCCCTTCATGGACGTCCCTTGTCATTATCTCATTATGGATTTTCATAGCACTTACTCAACATCCCTGGGGGCACAGTGGGACTGGGAGATGGTGAATGAAATAGGATGCCCTCTTAGTAGGTGACAAACTGGAAACACCAAAGGATGCTCAATCAGGGTTGCCTAGCAACCCACCACTACCATCTCAGTGGAGTTGCCTTAAAAGAAATAGAGCAGGGTTTCTCAATCGTAGCAGTACTGTCATTTTGGGTGAGATTATTTTTCTTTGTTGTGCAAGTATGGAGGGGATCCTGTGCATTGTAAGATGTTTAGCAGCGTCCCTGGCCTCTACTCACTAGATACCAGTTGCCAGCACCACCCCAAAATTGTGTGACCAAAAATGTCTCCAAACATTGTGAAATGCCCCTGGTGTTTGGGGGCTGGGAAAGTCATCCCTGGCTAAGAACCACTGAGATGGAAGATTTCTCTAGTGAGACCTGCTCCTTACCTAGAGTCTGCAACACCCTCACTGTCCAACATAGCAGAGGCTGGTGAAAGAGGTTGCCTGTCATGAATACTACTCCTGCTGGGGAGCCCCCCAGGGTGAGCTCAGCTGTGCAAAACTTATGTAGGGAGTCGATGTGGTTGAGGAAGTGAAAGGCCATCAAAAACCTGAGTTCTAGCCACTCTTCTGGTCCCACCCAGCCACGACCCTGTTTCAGGAGAGGTGAGCATTCAATCCTCACAAGGGAAATGGGAGAGAAAAGTACAGTTGTCCCTTATACTCACAGGGGATTGGTTCCAGGACCCCCTGCAGATACCCAAGTCAGCAGATGCTCAAGTCCCTTACATTTGGCCCTCTGTATTCTCGAGGCAGAACCCACGGCTACGGAAGGCTGACTGTACTTACAGGCTACCAAGGCAGGTAGTAAAGGAGAGCACTAGGGACCAGATAGGCAGAAGCCAATAGTGCTTTGAAGTTAGAGAAGCATCTGGAGCAGGGGGAGGATGGCTCTCCATTGGGATCCCTGCCCTGCTTTGCTCTTCATTGTGAGAGATGAGGCCCCCACTCACCACTGAGCTCAAATCCTCACCAGGGCCTCTTACAAAGAGTCACAGGGTCAAAGGAAGAATAGGGGTGGAGGAAAGAAAGGAATGGACTCCTGGTCTGACACTGAGACTGCAGCCTATGTAGACGGCAGCACCACTGAACTGAAAGCCCAGGATCTCCCCCTAGTGCCATCTTCCCACCGGGTCAGACTAAGACTTCTCCCCTCCAGGCCTCAAGGTCCTCCTGTGTCTCACTGGAGAACCATGAATCCTGCCCAGTTACCACCGTAGCTGTGATGACCCTAGGAGGTAACAGAGAGCAAACAAATGCAGGCTTCATGTTCATTGCTGTTTACTGAAAGAAAAGAATCAGAAGAAGAATGAAAAGAATAATAAGCAGAAGCAGAAGTCCTGAAGGAAGGAAGAAAGAAAGGAAAAGAAGTGGAGGGAGAAAAGGCAGATAGAAGTGGAGGGTGGAGAGGGCAGAGAGAAGGATGGTGGGTAGCCCGATCTCTTTGGCATAGGCCCTCAGACAATGGGACATATCATGAAAAGCTTCTTTAAAAACCAGAAGAAATTCAGGATAAAACTGAAGAACAGCAGGCAGTTGATATGGGCTGGCAACCCACTGGAATGGCCATGGGAGGACTCCAAGAAGGCTGACTGCTCCATTGGCGGATGTTGCAGGTGTCCTACGTGAAGGCAATCGACATCTGGATGGCCGTGTGCCTGCTCTTTGTGTTCGCTGCCCTGCTGGAATACGCTGCTGTCAATTTTGTCTCCCGTCAGCATAAGGAATTCATGCGACTTCGAAGAAGGCAGAGGCGCCAACGTATGGTGAGTATAACTAGGGAGGGGCCCACTTCCTCCCTCCTTTGGGCTCCTTCCTCCCTCCTCCTCCTCCCACAAACCAAGACTTGACCTGGGCTGCAAAGACTAGACAGGCAATCAGGAACCCTGGGTTCTAGTCCCAGGCTGGTCACGAAGAAGCTAAGTATTTTAACTTCTGATTCCATTTCTTTATCTGTCTAATGGGACATTAATTTCTGTAGGGCAGTCTAGGAGAGTGATTAAGAGCATGGGCAGTGCCCAGCACATAGTAAGCACTGAAAAATACTAGCCATTATTAGAACCTCATCAAGCCAGTTAACATGAGATTGCTTTGAGAAGTAGTAGTGGTTGCTCCTGGCTCTCCTCCCACCCAGGAAGAAGGTACCCCAAGTTGTCATAAACTGATTGGTAGTTAAGAATTCAAGAGTCAGGCATTGGTGCCTTTCTAGGGGAGCATTCTAAAAGGGTCCCCATAACGAAGCTGGAATTGAAAAACCATCACTTGCCTCTTCTGGCTGTTGGATTTCTTCGCCTTGATCTTCATTGGGTTCATCAGAGTTGTTGGGCATGAGCTGTTCTTCTCCCTCACTGTTGTCTGCTAACCCCATTTCTCCTACAGTAAAATGATCACCTGGGGAAATAGATTAGGGATCTTGTCGTCATGACAACAGAGGCAGCTCCTCCCCTTCCCCTACTGCCCAGACACTAGGTGCTAGGTACGTTGTCATGACAACAGAGGTGCCTGGGCCACTCTCACAGAAGCAAGTGCCCAATTATGAGCAAAGCTAAAACCTTTTGCTGAGCTACATACTGGTCGCTTAATCAACAGACAGAGTTCTGGTTGGACTTGAGCTCCAGTTCCTTGTTTTCTGCCTAATCTGGAGGCTCTAAAGCCAAGGGGCAAGTACATATGACATCTGGAGGAAGAAGAAACAAAGATCTATCTGAGCCCACTGGTTCTAGCCTGTCGGGGCCACTCTAGCCCTAAGGCTCTTTGCCCTTCCTAACACCCCAACCTCCCACTTCAGCTGCTCCCGCGGTACCCCTACCACATATCACACTAAAAATACCTCTCAAGTTATCGCTGGGATTTCACATCCCTTGCTAAGGTCCCTTTCTGCCGAGGGGCAGGGCTCCTGTCTCTAGTGGTTTGTCAGAATTTATCATCGCCCAGCTTCAGTCCTTTAGTTAGGGCTTGGGAAACTCGCCCTCTAGTGGATCTATCCACAACTGCATCTCCTTGAGTAGGAGTAATTGATTCTTCAAGGGACCTAAAAGCCTTTCCCATTTGATGCTGAGGGTTAGAAAAAAAAAAATAGATGGTCTTGGCAGAAGGGCAAGAAAAGTAGAAGCAGTCTTTTCTAAACTAACGGTCCCCCACTCGCTCTTTAGCTGTATCAAACCTGCCTGCAGATATCAAAATCATCTTCATAGGGGTTTTGGTCTTGATGCCTTCTTAATACCCACCTCAGAAAAGAAGAGCAGGCTGCCAACCAGTTCCAGAGTCCTTTTGCCAGCTAAATTGCCTGCGTGAGTGTCCCAGCAACAGAAGACTGCTGCAGTTACTGTAGAGCTACTCCAGGTTGACACTTGTCCCACCCCCTTGCCCGCACCTCTCCAACCCCCAACTGCCCACAGCCTATCCCCTCCTGGGCATGTATAGCTTGGTCCTGATCTCATAATGAAGTCTGTCATAACCAGTGCTCAATCACTGCAAAGTTATAACAGCAGCCTGGGCTCTGCTTAGGCACCTGGATCCTACCTAAATGTGTGCATGGCTTATTAGGAATGTAAATAAAGCCTGAAAACCAAAACCTAGGCCATTAGTCCTGTCCCTTTTCGGGTTTCCTAAACCCCTTGCTATCCAGGAAGAAATGTAGCAGAATCCTGGAGGTCACCGAGCAGGCTGAAAAAGTTGATGCAGGGTTAATCCATTTCTAGAAACACCCTGGGCCCTGCTGTTCCAGCTAGAGAAGTCAGTTTTCAGTCTGAGAAGAGCCCTCTTTAGGGAGAGAGAGAATCCATATGATTTTCAGGGATCCCTTAGACAAGAGCAATTTAGGAGCATGCTAGGGGCTGTTCGCCCAGCTCCAGACTTCATCTTGTTTTCCTTTAATCTCTCCTCAACCATCCATCTCCACTGCATGGTGGTCTCCTTCCACGTCACGGTCTAAAATAGTTTAATCTTTTTCCAGACATTTCTGCTTTGTCTTCCTTGCTAGTCTATCGGCTTCACAGGGAAGGGTCTGTTTCTCCTTTTTTTAACCTCAACAGGCCCTCGCACCAGGGTCTGGACACAGCGGCCGTGGAGCCCAGCTCACCAACCTTGGCAGATTGATTGGCGAGGGCTCTCTTGCCAGCCGGACAGAGAAAAAGCCTTTCCATTATCGATGGAATAACTTGAGAAAAGGAAGAAATTTCAAAATACTGCCAAGAGCACTCAGGGGCTTGGCTCCAGAACCCACCTTGCCTCTTTCCATCCCCCAAGACCCTTCCCCGGTTTCGAGTCTCCTCTCTTCACTTCAATATATATCACTCAATATCTATCCCTTTGTCCCGTCTCCACACCCCCTCTCCCACACTCTGCCTTCCCTTCTCAGCTTAGTTTGGGAATATCTTCCCTCTCTAGTGCCCCAGCCCTCCTCCCCTATAGATAGCTGACATAAAAACATTCTATTTCAACAGTCGTGGAAGCCAGAAAGTGATGTTTGTCTCCATTGTCCCTCCCCTCCAAAACACACACACACACACACACACACACACACACACACACACACCCCTCAGAATTTGGTCTAAATAGGTAATACCCAAATCCAGGACTCCCGCCCTTGGATTTTAGGTCATTCATCTTTGCTCCTTCAACTACAATGGGGTACAATATGTCAAAATCAAAAAGAGCCAAGGGTGGCTTACTCTCTCTGCCATATTTTCTCTCCCATGTGAAATAGCTTTTGCCTGAGAAATATTTCCAAATAATTCCCTTTAGATTTACTGTGATTGGAGAAAAGGGGAAATAATGAGATCTGGCGACACAGAAAGAGCAATTGGAGTCAATTTTCTCTTTCAAGGCTTTTTGCAAACAAATATATTCCATGCTTGTATCCTCTCGCTGGAGAGCTGAGGGGATGAGGATGAGCCGCAGGGAACACAAGGTCTGGGGAACCCTGAACTAGAAAGCAAAAGAGAAAATCATTTTCTTTACCCCCGCCCTTTTCACTTACTTGGGAGATGTTTCCTTGGCCTCTGATTCTTCATCTCTAAAATGGGTCCAGCACAACCTCTGAGGTAGGAACAGTGTGAAAATAATTGACAGGATATAGGGAGGTAAGCCAAGGCCTGAGGTGACCCATGTTATGTAAATAACCTTGAGGAAAGAGCTGAGGCCACCCCACTACACAGACTCAACATCGAAGCACAACCACAAGAGCGAATTGCCTCTGACCTACATGTGTACAACTCTCTCCACAGAGACTAGCACAATGAAGGAGTGGGTAGCTCAGCTCTCCAGTGGGCAGACCTAAGGACATTCTTTCCTAGACCAGAGGTGCCACTCTTTCTGAAGGCTGAAGGGCATCAGGCCACTGTGCGGGGGTGGGGCAGGGAGTGATGGTTTTTTCCTGCCAAGCACTTTGTCACTAAGATTCTTTTCTGAGTAGACTCTTCAGTTGGAGATCCTGTGAGGATGCTGGCTTCATGAGAACAAAGCCATTCCCTGTCCCATATTCTGAAGCATGTGGCTCACCAGTCCATTCATTCTTTTAACTGATATCTACTGGGTGTTTACTGGATGCTGGCACCGTGCTAGGCACTGGGACACAGCAGTGAGCAAGTCCAATGCCCTTTCTCAAGTCTGTACTAGGAGCCCACAGGGAGCAGAGAAAGAGGTGGGATCTGTTGGTAAATCTCTGACCTGAGCTTGTCTGCCCTGCTGCCTAGGGCCAGGCTGGGCCTTCCAGTGCTGCAATAACCCAGAGTTACTGGGACCCACCACATTGACATCTCATCCATGAAGCCACTTTGCAGCCGGTTACTACAGTGACAGAGGTCCCATTATAAAGACCCTATGATGTTCTTCTAACTGCATAGTAGGTGTAAAACCTACTTTTATCCACACTGTATGTCTATCTGTCACATCCATTAAATATACAGGTACTTATTCTGTTTTTTACTGAAAGTCCAGTGTCTCCGGAAGCCCTCAGTCCTGGGCAAACTGAGGAGATAGTTGGCATCATCCCACAAGGGGGCATTTCACTTCAGGTTATTTCTGGGAGAGCCGAAGATTTCACTCCTGTAAACATCAATACTTTAAAAAGTCATAACCATCTTTGAATGAAGTATTTCTAGGTTCTGGTATACTTGTCCTCTCTCTAATTTCCAGGCTGTGAACCACCACCACTTCTGATGGCAGTGTGTCCTTTAGAAGTAGACAAGATTAGGCAGGTTTGGGTTGGATAGAAACTAAGAGTAAATAGGCTCTGAGTGGGGCCCTGAAAGGCTCTTATATGAGTAAGATCTACTGATCATTCAGGGGCTTTGGTTCATTCTCTTTCTCTTTCTCTCTCTCTCTCTCTCTCTCCCTCCCTCTCTCTTTCTCTGGCCTTAACTCTTGGCTCTCAGCTGTGTTATAGCTACTTAAGATTGTCAGCTATCACTTACTAGACAAATGAACTTCGTGTCATCTGCTACATTGCTTAATGTTTATATAAAATTTACCTCTGCAGTGTTAATGCGTTCATCAGAATGCATGTATTGTACACAAATGTAATGTGCGTTGGGTAATAAATGTTACTCAAGGTGTACCAACCCCTATGTCAAAACCTGCTGATTTGCAGAGAAGCACACGTATCTGCAATAGCGTAATCATTTTTACCCTAATTTGGATACCAACTAGGTTATTTAAAACTTTGGGAATTTTCAGCTTTGAGTCGAGATAAACATTTTTTAAAAGATACCGTGTACAAGGAGAATTATTTCTGCAGCTTGGGAAAGTCATTAAAGTCAAGTTCCCAAGTCTCAATATCTCAGCTGTGCTTTCTAAAGGTTTCACTGTTCTGTTTATTCTGTTTATTACCAGTCAGAGATAACTTGACATTGAGATGTCCCTCTCACAGTGAGTTGGCACTTCACTGGGTTTTAGAGGGCTCTAAATGATGTTATGCATTTTAAAAAGGAAGCTCAGGGCTTATCTGCAAATGGAATCTAAACACATACTATATGTACTTTGTAGAGCTGCTTAGCATACATCTATCTCATAAGTAGTTTTGTGGCCATTAAAAAGCATGCAATGGGCCTGTATACCCAGCCACCCCGTCTGCATAGCATCACCTGAGATCTCTATGTGGGGCCTGGTCTCTAGTCCTCTGCCTTAGAGCTGTGACCTCAAATTCTGCTTTTTCTTCCATGTAATTCCAGGAGGAAGATATCATCCGAGAAAGTCGCTTTTATTTCCGTGGCTATGGCCTGGGCCACTGCCTGCAGGCAAGGGATGGAGGTCCAATGGAAGGTTCTGGCATTTATAGCCCCCAACCTCCAGCCCCTCTTCTAAAGGAAGGAGAAACCATGCGAAAACTCTACGTGGACCAGGCCAAGAGAATTGACACCATCTCCCGAGCTGTCTTCCCTTTCACTTTCCTCATCTTCAACATCTTCTACTGGGTTGTCTATAAAGTGCTACGGTCAGAAGATATCCACCAGGCGCTGTGAATCAGAGCTAAAGGGTCCGGCTGTTGGCTTCCTGCTTCCTCCTGGGTGGGCGTTCCCCCTCCATTAGATTCCGTCAAGGGCTTGGACAATTCCTTCCTGATCTCCCACTCAGAACTTCAACAGCCAACCTCAGAGCTATGTGGGTCTACAATGGATGGTGCCGATGGTGGCTGTACTTAGAAAGATGGCTTATCTGCCCAAATCTAGATCTTCTCCATGCTCTCCCATTTCTCATGAGAATAAGATTTGGCCATACTCCTGGGGCCAGGATGATCGTCTTCCATGGCTAAGTCATCTCTGTTTTTCTGTTCTCCAGTGCAGAATATTCAGAACACTGCTACTAGATTCTGCCATTGGTCATCTTAATCTGCACCAGTCTGTGTCCTGCCACCTCCACCCAGAGCTTGGCCTGGACTGTGCCCTCTGTCCCTCCTACCACAGGCTCAAATAGGGAGTCCTGTCCATCCACAAGTGCTTCCCTGTGTTGACCCAGTCAGGTTTCCCTGACTATAGGAGGAAGGCAAGGGGATAGATTCCCCACCTCTTAGCAGTCATCAGCTATACCAGAGGAGGGCATCGCTATATGACCCAACAGAGAGGTCTTCAAGTTTCCTTGGAAGTGTAACACTGTCAGAATGGAGTCAGCAATCTTTGGCTCTCAGAAAGACCACCCTTTCAGCTCTCAGAAATACTTGTTTTATTCCCTAACTAGCATGGTGGCAGGTGTTTGACTGCTGTGGAGTATAAAAAGATAAAAATGCTTAGTCTTTAAGAAAGTTACTTGGTGATGCTAGAAAACTTTCAAGAAAAGTCAGATCCAAGGCAGTGGGATCTAGGAGGAGTAGAATACAGAAACTATGCTCAGAAAGTCTTCTGTTGGCTGGGCATTCATTTTTTCTTCTTTTTCTCCACAGTCTCTTTATTTCACAGGACCCCTCATTTTCCACTTGTTCCTTCACTTCCTTTTAGTGAGCAAATAATGGTGCCGTGCAGCCTCATCCTAGATAAAGTGATCTCTGAGGTTCCTGGGAGGGAACTAGGTATATAGAGGACCCCTTCCTGGACAAACATTGACTTGGTCAATCTCAGGATGGTGTTGTAGAAGTTAGAAAACCGTAAGTTGGAGCTATTTCTTAATCCTTCTCTTGCTTCCCTTCTCCTTCCACAGTGAGGAGGGGCAGCATTCAGTTGAAGCTACCAGGAATGTCAGAATAGAGAGAGTGTGGGAGAGCCCATTTCAGGCCTGACATCCACTGGGAGGTGGGGAAGTCTGGGCCTGGTGCTCCAAGTCCTTTGAAA